TTCTACCTTTGGCCGGAGAACTATCTTCCCAATCTTCAAGCATTTTCCCCAAGACTATTAGGGACAATGTCCTGGCTCCCTTCCCTGATTCCCTAGGCTTAGTCTATTCCTATTCTTATGAGGTCTCTGTGCGGTGCTCAACCTCCTTTACCAGGCCCTGGTGGTCCCTCCTCCTGTCAAGCCTCCGACCTGCCCTAGTGCAGGTGTCTACCTGTGACAGTTTGAAGGAGAAAAGAGGTTTCTTGTGCACCCCGCAGAGTCGCTTGCCTGGGACCTGTCACTCCCAGTCTCTCGGTCTCCTGCAGAGAACATCACTCATCTAACAAGGCAGGACCTTAGTCCAATTGTTTCTACCTTATTCAGAGCACAAGATTACTTGACTGCCATGGTCTGTTTCCTTTATGTCCCCTGCATCAGGGGAGCTAAATCCCTGGCCCCAGTCCCTTCTCTCAGGCCATGAAATGAGCAATTTTACTCCTGCTGTGATGTGCTCCCTCACCACAGGCCAAAACAAAGGAGCCAATTAAAAAGAGCTAAAACATGAATGAAAATAAACCTTTTCCTTTACAAGTTGTCTCCAGTATTCATTATAGTGACTAACACTATATGAAAGTTGACTAACACTCATATGTCTAGGAGTTTGGGGTTATATCGTGATTTCTTTCTTTCTTTTTTTTTTAAACAAGGTCTTCCTATGTAGCTCAGGTTGGCCTTGAACTCACTGTGTAGCCAGGCTGGCCCTGAACTCTCCAGTGAGGCTCCTACCTCAGCCTCCCAAGTGCTAGGATCACAGGCGTGCACTACCACACCCAGCCATTGTAGACCTTCGGAATCCTGTCATGTTTCTTTAGAGATCAGGCAGGTTAGTGATATCTGTCATGGAACAGCTCCAAGCTCAAATTTTCCACTACTTGAACAGCAAAGATGGGGAAAAAAAAATCTGTTTGGTGTTTATAACTTTGCTCGATAGTCAACTGTGGGGGACCAAGCTATGTGAAGAAAATGTTGGGGACCAGGCTACGTGACTTAGGTCCTGCAGTTTTAAGGTGGGTGTAACCTGCTTTAGGAATAGGGAAGTGTGCTTACTGGCTGTGTGGGGAAAGCCCATAATCACAGCACTCCCAAAGCAAGATAACATCTGTTGAGGACAATGAAAAAAGAATGTAGAAATCCAGGTATGGGGAAGGACTTAAACCCCACTAAATTGTTCCCTTTGTGAGTTTCAACTTGCTCCTCAATTTTTATTGCCCCATGCTTGCTGTAGTGGCTGTTCCAGGAAAAGTACACTACCCCTCCCCTGCTTTTTTTTTTTTTTTTTTTT